ACAAATACAGACGTCAAAACAAAAGTAAACGTAGGGTACCTAACTAGAGATGAAATAGAAAGTGCGGGTGGAATACGCCAGGGCGACTCCAGTAATCTTCAACTTGATAATGTTTAAAGTAATTGACAGTGGTAAAAACAATGGAAGGATGCATGATGGGTAAAATCTAAGTAAACATAGTCTGTTACGCAGTTACCTGGGAGTGGACATCTGCACTAATAACCATATATTGAAAGAAGCGAGAGAGCAGGCCATGAAAGTTGCTCGCGTATCAGGATACTTAAGATATGTAACTTAAAAAAATTAATACCTTAGCATAGACTGTAAAGTTAAAATCTACAAGACTATGGCAAAACCATTTTTGAGAAATGCAGCTAAAACCCGAGTTGATACTAAGAAAACAAAACAACTTTACCGATCAGTAGATATTAGAAATGAACACACTGCGATCAATAGTAGGAAAGAACAGGAGTGACAGGGTAAGAAATCAGGATGTAAGAAAACAGTGCGCTATAAAATTGCTATTATCAGTATTAATTTGTGAAAATAAGGGACATGAATAGAATAAGCGTATTACACGAATGAGCGGTGACAGACTGGCGAAGATAGCCAGGGAGATGTTACCATCAGTAAATAGAAAACCTGGAAGGCCGAAGAAAAGATGAGAGATCTGCAGTCAACGTGTAGTGAATGCCCGGAATGAAGCATGAAGAAAAACGGGTGAGCAACCTACAGAAAAGAAGAATCATGCTAGTAATTAAATTATTTTTTTCAAATTCTGTATATTAGACATTAGAAAAGGCGGTAAGTAGTTATTGTTTATGTTATTACGTTAGATAAATTACAATTAAAGTGTCTAATGATTGTCACACACATAAAAAAAACTGCATCGGCCGGGAATCGAACCCGGGCCGCCCGCGTGGCAGGCGAGCATTCTACCACTGAACCACCGATGCTACGATCATTTTCACGCAAGTTTAAAATTTAACGTCATTATTAGTGTGCGAATGATGTTTACCTGAAAATGTTAGAAATATGCAAACCTTTAAGACCTAAATATTACCAAAATACGACTTTAAAAATCTTTGTTGTACTTTCGAAACTCACAATCGTACCATTGCTTAATTAGCAATATATTGAAAACATACTTTTAAAATCTAGCACATTCACAGTTCAACCCTTCATTTTGGAGTGTAATGTAAAATGCACCTACTACAATGAAGTACGCATTGCTTAAAGAGAGAAATGAATATTTTCTTTCAAACTGTACGTGAAAGAAAATATTACCCTTTCAGACATGTTTAACATAGGGTCCGTGTCCTGGAGCAGGCGCCTGCTGAGGTCATGGGTGATTGAGCACCCCAAACCGCCGTCACGTTAACACGATCCAGAACGTGGGAAACAGGAATGTTTTTGGGAATCTTGTTGAAGTTTTCAAAGGGCAAAAGTCCTCTGAAGTTTATGTCAGTTTATTGCGTCCAGGGCATGCGAGTTCTGGCGGGGGTGGTGTAATGGCCTCGTTAAATCTCCCTGTTTCCCATAATAAAGGGATCTGTAGCGTTGATATCGGACAGACAGCCTACAGACTTTTGCTGTGTAAACTTCACGCTGCTCTTGGCGCCTACTTTCTTCAATTAAACTTATTTCATACTTCATCGGACTTGGTTCTTGTTCACTTGAACCTCGCTCACCACCACGCTCCTCAGGGAACTTAGGCCTTCCTGCGAACTCATATTTTTTGCATCTATACTGGAAGCATTTGGTAATTGCCTGCAATCGCTGCTAGTAGCCAACGACACTACAGCGAAGGCATTACATGGTGGCAGCGGCTTTGGATTGAGGAGCACAGCGGAATTCAAGTACTTTTCTTGCTGACGGCCGGCTGGAGAGACTCGCGCCTTAACCGAGGTGGGCCGGAGCCTTTCTCGGAGGGAACAACGCTCCAGAAGGAATCCAAAGGCGCGTGGTACCCGTTCACGCCTGCAGAAGCCGAGTCCGTGGTTTGGAGGCCAGCATCAGCAGCCGCTGACGAGCCGAGGGACGATCTTTTTGGCTGTTCAGCCGTTGGCAGCCTGCGGCCGCGAGAGGGTCCTCTACCCTGGAGGGGCGCTGCGAGCCATCACTGGGAGGCGCCGAACTGCGCATCTTCAAGCCACCCTACATCTTTTTCTTGGTAAGCGATAGTTAATCAGCCATGGCAAGACGATGATATTGGCGATATGAGGAATTATATATAGTCATACAGGAGTAAAATTAATATCGCGTAACTTTGATGGAAATCCCGACATTGAGAGAATTTAAATAGAAGGATTGAGGCAGCAACGGAAGTAGTTACACCCAATAACTATAATTGCTTTTGAAATTCATTGAATCAAAAAATTACTGGCAATGCTAAAGATAGGTTAATTAGCACACGAACACAACGCGAAACTTGGAACAAGTTAGAGCGATATTAGAAGAAAACTTCTCTGTACGTCGTACGTTAGAATATTACGCGGCGTATTATTCCAGTCGCAGCAGGGATCAAATGAACGTAGCAATGGGGTTGCGAGTAAGTATAGATGCGCTATAGATCGAGAAGGGAAGTAAAGGCAGGTTGGAAAATTCGAACAGAAAAGATAATGCGCGTTACGGGCGTAGGATA